TCGGATAGGTAATTGAGAAATTCAAAAACTGCAAAATTGAAAAATTAAACGTTGAAAATTTGAACAATTGAATAAACGAAAAATTGATATGTAAACAGAGAAAGTGAAAATTAAATATAAAAATCAAAAACCTGAAAAATCAAGGAAACGAAGAATAGAAAAATTAAAAAATTAAAAATTGAGAAATTGAAAAAAATTAAAAATTCTAATATATTGAAAAATTGTAAAATCAGAAATGGACAAACGAAAAAAGATAAAATGGAAATTTTGAAAAATCTGATTGGAATTCAAAAACTTGAAAAACTGAAGAGAAAAATCGAAAAAACGAAATATCCCAAAATCGAAATATTAAAAGTTAAAGAAATCTAAAAACTGCTAAACTGAAAAATAAAAAAACTAAAGTGAATAAACGAAAAATTGATATGAAAACAGAGAAAGTGAAAATTAAAAAAATCGGGAAAATGAGAAATAAAAATCAAAAACCTGAAAATTAAGGAAACGAAAAATTGTAAAAATTGCAAAATTGAAAAATCATAAATGAACAAACGAAAAAGTATAAAATGGAAACCTTGAAAAATCAAAAACGTGAAAAACTCAAGAAAAAATCAAAATAACGAAATATTGCAAAATCGAAGTATGTATCGAAAATTAAAGGAATTGAAAAATCGGCTAGGTAATTGAGAAATTCAAAAACTGCAAAATTGAAAAATTAAACGTTGAAAATTTGAACAATTGAATAAACGAAAAATTGATATGTAAATACAGAAAGTGAAAATTAAATATAAAAATCAAAAACCTGAAAAATCAAGGAAACGAAAAATAGAAAAATTGAAAAATTAAAAATTGAGAAACTGAAAAAAATGAAAAATTCTAATAAATTGAAAAATTGTAAAATTGTAAAATTCAGAAATGGCCAAACGAAAAAAGATAAAATGGAAATTTTGAAAAATCTAATTGGAATTCAAAAACTTGGAAAACTGAAGAGAAAAATCGAAAAAACGAAATATCGCAAAATCGAAATATTAAAAGTTAAAGAAATCTAAAAACTGCTAAACTGAAAAATAAAAGACTAAAGTGAATAAACGAAAAATTGATATGAAAACAGAGAAAGTGAAAATTAAAAAAATCGGGAAAATGAGAAATAAAAATCAAAAACCTGAAAATTAAGGAAACGAAAAATTGTAAAAATTGCAAAATTGAAAAATCAAAAATGAACAAACGAAAAAGTATAAAATGGAGACCTTGGAAAATCAAAAACCTGAAAAACCAACAAAAAATCAAAATAACGAAATATTGCAAAATCGAAGTATGTACCGAAAATTAAAGGAATTGAAAAATCAGACAATTGAGAAATTCAAAACCCGCAAAATTGAAAAATTAAACGTTGAAAATTTGAACAATTGAATAAACGAAAAATTGATATGTAAATAGAGAAAGTGAAAATTAAATATAAAAATCAAAAACCTGAAAAATCAAAGAAACGAAAAATTGAAAAATTGAAAAATTAAAAATTAAGAAACTGAAAAAAATGAAAAATTCTAATATATTGAAAAATTGTAAAATTGTAAAATTAAGAAATGGCCAAACGAAAAAAGATAAAATAGAAATTTTGAAAAATCTAATTGGAATTCAAAAACTTGAAAAACTGAAGAGAAAAATCGAAAAAACGAAATATCCCAAAATCGAAATATTAAAAGTTAAAGTAATCTAAAAACTGCTAAACTGAAAAATAAAAAAACTAAAGTGAATAAACGAAAAATTGATATGAAAACAGAGAAAGTGAAAATTAAAAAAATCGGGAAAATGAGAAATAAAAATCAAAAACCTAAAAATTAAAGAAAGGAAAAATTGTAAAAATTGCAAAATTGAAAAATCAAAAATGAACAAACGAAAAAGTATAAAATGGAAACCTTGAAAAATCAAAAACCTGAAAAACTCTAGAAAAAATCAAAATAACGAAATATTGCAACATCGAAGTGTGTACCGAAAATTAAAGGAATTGAAAAATCGGATAGGTAATTGAAAAATTCAAAAACTGCAAAATTGAAAAATTAAACGTTGAAAATTTGAACAATTGAATAAACGAAAAATTGTTATGTAAATAGAGAAAGTGAAAATTAAATATAAAAATCAAAAACCTGAAAAATCAAGGAAACGAAAAATAGAAAAATTGAAAAATTAAAAATTGAGAAACTGAAAAAAATGAAAAATTCTAATAAATTGAAAAATTGTAAAATTGTAAAATTCAGAAATGGCCAAACGAAAAAAGATAAAATGGAAATTTTGAAAAATCTAATTGGAATTCAAAAACTTGGAAAACTGAAGAGAAAAATCGAAAAAACGAAATATCGCAAAATCGAAATATTAAAAGTTAAAGAAATCTAAAAACTGCTAAACTGAAAAATAAAAAACTAAAGTGAATAAACGAAAAATTGATATGAAAACAGAGAAAGTGAAAATTAAAAAAATCGGGAAAATGAGAAATAAAAATCAAAAACCTGAAAATTAAGGAAACGAAAAATTGTAAAAATTGCAAAATTGAAAAATCAAAAATGAACAAACGAAAAAATATAAAATGGAAACCTTGAAAAATCAAAAACGTGAAAAACTCAAGAAAAAATCAAAATAACGAAATATTGCAAAATCGAAGTATGTACCGAAAATTAAAGGAATTGAAAAATCAGATAATTGAGAAATTCAAAAACTGCAAAATTGAAAAATTAAACGTTGAAAATTTGAACAATTGAATAAACGAAAAATTGATATGTAAATAGAGAAAGTGAAAATTAAATATAAAAATCAAAAACCTGAAAAATCAAGGAAACGAAGAATAGAAAAATTAAAAAATTAAAAATTGAGAAACTGAAAAAAATTAAAAATTCTAATATATTGAAAAATTGTAAAATCAGAAATGGACAAACGAAAAAAGATAAAATGGAAATTTTGAAAAATCTAATTGGAATTCAAAAACTTGAAAAACTGAAGAGAAAAATCGAAAAAACGAAATATCCCAAAATCGAAATATTAAAAGTTAAAGAAATCTAAAAACTGCTAAACTGAAAAATAAAAAAACTAAAGTGAATAAACGAAAAATTGATATGAAAACAGAAAGTGAAAATTAAAAAAATCGGGAAAATGAGAAATAAAAATCAAAAGCCTGAAAATTAAGGAAACGAAAAATTGTAAAAATTGCAAAATTGAAAAATCAAAAATGAACAAACGAAAAAGTATAAAATGGAAACCTTGAAAAATCAAAAACGTGAAAAACTCAAGAAAAAATCAAGATAACGAAATATTGCAAAATCGAAGTATGTATCGAAAATTAAAGGAATTGAAAAATCAGATAATTGAGAAATTCAAAACCTGCAAAATTGAAAAATTAAACGTTGAAAATTTGAACAAGTGAATAAACGAAAAATTGATATGTAAATAGAGAAAGTGAAAATTAAATATAAAAATCAAAAACCTGAAAAATCAAGGAAACGAAAAATTGAAAAATTGAAAAATTAAAAATTGAGAAACTGAAAAAATGAAAAATTCTAATATATTCAAAACTTGTAAAATTGGAAAATTCAGAAATGGCCAAACGAAAAAAGATAAAATGGAAATTTTGAAAAATCTGATTGGAATTCAAAAACTTGAAAAACTGAAGAGAAAAATCGAAAAAACGAAATATCGCAAAATCGAAATATTAAAAGTTAAAGAAATCTAAAAACTGCTAAACTGAAAAATAAAAAAACTAAAATGAACAAACGAAAAAGTATAAAATGGAAGCCTTGAAAAATCAAAAACGTGAAAAACTCAAGAAAAAATCAAAATAACGAAATAATGCAAAATCGAAGTATGTATCGAAAATTAAAGGAATTCAAATTGATAATAGAGAAATACAAAAACTACAAAACTGAAAAATTTTAAAATTGATTAATTAAACGTTGAAAATTTGAACAACTGAATAAACGAAAAATTGATATAAAAATAGAGTGAAAATTTAAAAAAACGGTAATAAAAATCAAGAACCTGAAAAATTAAGAAAATGAAAAACTGAAATATCGAAAAATTAAAAATTGAAAAACTGAAAAAATGAAAAAAATTGCAAATGGAAAAATTGAAGAAATGAAAAATTGAGAAAATTTGGAAGAAGAGAAATTTAATTTTTTTTTAAACAAACTTAAAACGAAAAATTGTTAACCGAAAAAGTAAAAAATGGAAAAAATTGATGAATTAAAGAAAATGAAAAAACGAAAAATTGTGACATCAAAACATTGCAAAATTGGAAAATAAAAAATTAAAACTTTGAAAAATCTAAAAATTGTAATAATCTAGAATAAAAACTAAACGGATTCATAAACCATATCTGAAGGAGTATCTTATTTAATAAAACTGAAACAATATTCACTAATAAATTCCTCGATTACAATACTTCCTTGCTTCAGGAACTAAAACCTCGCCATACGTCACTAATCGTCGTTGCTCAGCACCAAAGTGCGGAAATCGCCGCGTTCACACGCAGCCTTGCCCCCTGAATCTCCCACGAGTATTAGTTTTTATAACATTTGAACTTTCCACGTTTTCCAGATAATCTCGCAACGTGAAGATCTCCTATCTGGCTTGCGCGGAAAATGCGTCCTTATGTCGTCGCGCATAGCGCGCGCGCCCACAAAAACGCTTTCATTCATGAAAAAATCCCAAATAAAAAAACCTCTGAAAATATGAGACGTGATAGTGTCCGCAATAAATACGAGCGGATTTGCATAAACAAGTACGATGACAAATGATATTATGTTATGTGAGATGGAAAACGGCTGAAGGTGGGCGTGTAACGACTACGAAACTTGTCCGCTTACGCTTAATTATTGTCAACTTTAATTAATTGTAATGCGGCCGTTTGTTATGTGCATTCGTACTGACGCGATTTTCACCACATTAAACGTTTAATAATAATTACGTTGCTTTTGCGAGGAGGCGGAACCGATGTTATCTGCATGGAATTATCATGCGTGATGGTGACGACTCGCGAGCATTTTTCTGCTCGAGGGCCCGGGCTGGGTGGGTTTGGAGGATCTATTAAGTCGGGTTTGTGGGCATAGGTTTATGGAGAAGAGCTGAATGGCGAAATTTCCAAAACGAAATGTTCGAAAATTTTTAGACAATTTTTTTTGCAAAAAATTAAGATTTAGAATGAAAACAAAAACGCAAAAATCGTAAAAAAGTTAGTTAAACTGTAGCAAAAAAAATATTATGTGTGGTTTCAGCGTGTTTTCCTTGATAAAATTTTCCTATGACGTCATCAGTCTTTAAGTAGGGATAAAAATATAATTATTTTCTAACGAATTTGAAAGAATCTCAAAAACACATCCTACTTTATTTTTTAAAAATTGTCAAAAAATCTCTGGTACTCATTATGTTTAATTTTTCAAACAGTTTGGAAGGATGTCCAATACTCCTTCTGTTTTATTTTTTAAAAAGTTTAAAAAAATCTGAAGAGTTTTTGGTGCTTTATTTTTAAAAGAACCTGAAAGAATTTAAGACTCTTGGTGTTTTTTTTTTTAAGAATTTGGAACAATTTCCCTTGGTGTTTCTTATTCTTGGAGCAATTTGAAATAATCTGTGCCATTTAAATATTCTCGAGTGCGAATTTTTTAATAACGTGAAAGAACAACTTGGGGATTCCCGGTGTTTTATTTTCCAAAGCATTTTAAATAATCTTGAGAACCCTTCTGGTCTATTTTTTAAAGAGTCGGGGATCTCTTTCATTTAATTTTTGAATTAATCCGGAATTTCAATTTTTAAATCATTCAATTTTAGATTTTTCCGAGTTTTTCGATTTTTCAATTTTTCATTTCTTCAGTTTTTGTACGACTTTTCAATGTTTCTTTTTTTTTTGTTTTGTTTGATTCCTCAATTTTTATTTTTTTCAATTGTTCGAATTGCGATTTTCCAACTTCATTTTTTGTTTCTTCGATTTTACGATACGCGACTCCATGAATTTTCATTTTTAAATTTAGATTTTTTAATTTTTCGTGTTTTCAATTTTAGATTAATTCAGTTTCTCGATTTTTCAATTTTGCGAGTTTCCAGTTTTTCGATTTTCCAGCGTTTGGATGTTTCAGTTTTAATATTTTGCGATTTTTTGAATGATATTTGCGATTTTTCGCTTTTCCAATTTTTCATTTCTTAATTTATCTGTTTGAAATTTTTCGTTTCGTTTTTTCAAAGTTTTGTTTTAAGAAATTTTCCTTTTTTTCAATGTGAAATTTTTCAATTTTTCATTTGTCAATTTTTGATTTGCATTTTTTGCAATTTTGAAGATGCTATAATTTTCAATTTTACAATTTTTCGGTTTTCCAATTTCTTGGTTCGATTCGTTTTTTCTTCTTTCCAATTTTTAAATTCGTTGATTTTTCGATTTTTAAGTTTCCCGATCTTTAGTTGTTCAATCTTTCGTTTTTTCAGTGCTTCGATTGTCAATTTTTCGACTTTTTCATGTTTTTCCGATTTTGTTGTTTTTCTATTTTTAAGTTTTCGACTTTTCAATTTTTCGATTTTTCAACTTTCAGAAGGTTCAGAAGGTTCGAAGGATTCAGAAGATTCTGAAGATGCTGAAGATTCTGAAGATTCTGAAGAATTAGAAGGATCCAAGAATACCAAAAATTCCGAAGGTTTCGAAGTTTCCAAATATACCAAATATTTCAAAGATTACAATGAATTCAAAACTTCCAAACGTTCCAAAGGTTCCAAAGATTTCAAAGATTCTAAAGATGGTAAAAACTTCGAAGATTTCGAAGGTTCTGAAGATTCGGAAGATTCAGAATTTTCAGAAGAATTAGAAGGATCCAAAAATGCCAAAAATTCCGAAGGTTTCGAAGGTTCTAAAGATTTTGAAGATTCTGAAGATTCTGGAGATTCTGAAGATTCTGAAGATGCTAAAAATTTTGAAGATTCTGAAGATTCCGAAGATTCCGAAGATTTCAACAATTACAAAGATTTCAAAGATTTTAAGATGTCAAAGATTTCAAAGATTTCAAAGATTCCAATGATGCCAAAAATTCCGAGGATTCCGGAAATTGCGTAGATTTCGAAGATTCCGAAGATTCAGAAGTTTCAGAAGAATTAGAAGGATCCAAGGACGCCAAAAATTCCGAAGGTCTCGAAGGTTTTGAAGATTTCGAAGATTCCAAAGATTTCAAAGATTCCATGGATTCCAAAGATTCCTAAGATTTCAAGGTTTCCAAAGATTCCAAGGATGCCAAAAATTCCGAAGGTTTCGAAGATTTCAAGGTTTCCAAAGATATCAAGGATGCCAAAAATTCCAAAGGTTTCGAAGGTTCTGAAGAGTTCGAAGATTCGAAATATTCCAAATATTCCACATATTTCAAAGATTACAAAGAATTCAAAAGTTCCAAACGTTCCAAAGGTTCCAAAGATTTCAAAGATTCTAAAGATGGTAAAAATTTCGAAGATCTCGAAGGTTCAGAAGATTCAGAATTTTCAGAAGAATTAGAAGGATCCAAGGATGCCAAAAATTCTTAAGGTTTCGAAGGTTCTAAAGATTCTGAAGATTCTGGAGATCCTGAAGATTCTGAAGAATCTGAAGATTACGAAGATTCCGAAGATTTCAACAATCACAAAGATTTCAAAGATTTTAAGATGTCAAAGATTTCAAAGATTTCAAAGATTCCAAGGATGCCAAAAATTCCGAAGATTCCGGAAATTGCGTAGATTTCGAAGATTCTGAAGATTCAGAAGTTTCAGAAGAATTAGAAGGATCCAAGGATGCCAAAAACTCCGAAGGTTTAGAAGGTTCTAAAGATTCCGAAAATTCCAAAGATTTCAAAGATTCCATGGATTCCAAAGATTCCGAAGACTTCAAGGTTTCCAAACATTCCAAGGATGCCAAAAATTCCGAAGGTTTCAAAGGTTCTGAAGAGTTCGAAGATTCGAAATATTCCAATTATACCAAATATTTCAACGATTACAAAGAATTCAAAAGTTCCAAACGTTCCAAAGATTTCAAAGATTCTAAGGATGGTAAAAATTTCGAAGATTTCGAAGGTTCTGAAGATTCAGAATATTCAGAATTTTCAGAAGAATTAGAAGGATCCAAAAATGCCAAAAAAATCCGAAGGTATCGAAGGTTCTAAGGATTCCGAAGGTTCCGGAGATTTTCACGATCCCAAAGATTCCAAAGATTTCAAAGATTCCAAAGATTCCGAATATTCCAAAGATTCTAAAAATTCCTAAGATTCCAAGGATGCCAACAATTCCGAAGATTCTGAAGATTTCGAAAATTCCAAATATTTCAAATATTCCAAAGAATTCTTAGGTTCCAAAGCTTCCAACGATTCCAAGGATTCTAAAGATTCTAAATGTTCTAAATATTCCAAATATTCCACGAATGCCAAAAATTCAAAGGATGTCAAAAACTCCGAAGGGTTTGAAGGTTCTGCAGATTCCGAAAGTTTCAAAGATTACAAAAATTCCAAAGAATTCAAAGGTTCCAAACGTCCTAAACGTTTCAAACGTGGCAAAGGTTCCAAAAATTTCAAAGATGGCAAGGATGCCAAAAATTCCGAAAGTTCCGAAGGTTCTGAAAATTCCAAAGATTCCAAAGGTCCCAAAGTTTCCAAAGGTTTTAAAAGCTCCAAAGTCACCAAGGATTCTAAAGATTCTAAATGTTCTAAATATTGCAAATATTCTAAGAATTCCAAAAATCCTAAGGATGTCAAAAATTGCGAAGGGTTCGAAGGTTCTGAAAATTTCGAAGATTTCAAATATTCCAAATATTGCAAAGATTCCAAAGATTTCAAGGATGCCAAAAATTCCGAAGGCTCTGAAGATTCCGAAAGTTTCAAAGATTCCAAAAGTTCCAAAGATTCCAAAGAATTCAAAGGTCCAAACGTCCTAAACGTTTCAAACGTGGCAAAGATTCCAAAGATTTCAAAGATCCCAAGGATTCCAAAGATTCCAAAGGTTCCAAAGTTTCTGAAGATTCCGAAGGTTTCAAAGATTTAAAAAATTTCAAATATGCCAAGGATGCCAAAAATTCCGAAAGTTTCTGAAGTTCTGAAGATTTCGAAGACTCCAAATATTCCAAAGATTCCAAATAATTCAAAGGTTCCAAACATTCCAAACGTTCCCAACGTGGCAAAGATTTCAAATTGTCCAAGGATGCCAAAGATACCAAATGTTTCGAAGGTTCAGAAAATTCCAAAGATTCGAAAGATCCCAAAATTTCCAAAGGTTTTAAAGGTTCCAAAGTTTCCAAATGTTCTAGAAGTTCCAAAGGTTCAAAAGATTCAAAAGATTCTCAAGACGCGAAAGACTCCAAAAATTCGAAAATCTCGAAAGAGTCCAAATAATTCAAAAAGTCAACACACCTCAAAACCCAAAGATCACAAGGACCCCAAAGATTGCAAAGATTCCAAATATTCAAAAAATTACAAAGAATTCAAAGATTTGAAACGTTCCAAAGGTTCCAAAGATTTCAATGATCCTAAGGATGGTAAAATTTTCGAAGATTTCGAGGTTCTGAAGATTCAGAAGATTCCGAAGTTTCTGAAAATTTCAACGATCCCAAAAATTCCAAAGATTCCAAGGAGTTCAGGGATTCCAAAGATTCCAAATATTCCAAAGATTCTAAAAATTCCAAAGATTCCAAAGATGCCAACAATTCCGAAGATTCTGAAGATTTCGAAAATTCCTAATATTTCAAATATTCCAAAGAATTCATAGGTTCCAAACGTCCAAAACTTTCAATGATTCAAAGGAATCTAAAGATTCTAAATGTTCTAAATATTCCAAATATTCCAAGAATGCCAAAAATTCAAAGGATGTCAAAAACTGCAAAGGTTTCGTTCCAAACGTGGCAAAGATTCCAAATATTGCAAAGATTCCAAAGAATTCAAGGATGCCAAAAATTCCGAAAGTTCTGAAAATTCCGAAAGTTTCAAGGATTCCAAAGATTCCAAAGAATTCAAAGGTCCAAATATCCTAAACGTTTCAAACGTGGCAAAGGTTCCAAAGATTTCAAAGATTCCAACGATTCCAAAGATTCCAAAAGTTCCAAAGTTTCTGAAGATTCCGAAGGTTTCAAAGATTCAAAGGAATTCCAAGGTTCCAAACATTCCAAACGTTCCAAATGTGGCAAAGATTTCAAAGAGTCCAAGGATGGCAAAGATACCAAAAGTTCCGAAGGTTCTGAAAATTCCAAAGATTCCAAAGGTCCCAAAGTTTCCAAACGTTTTAAAGGTTCCAAAGTTTCCAAGGATTCTAAAGATTCTAAATGTTCTAAATATGCCAAATATTCCAAGAATGCCAAAAATTCTCAGGATGTCAAAAACTGCGAAAGGTTCGAAAGTTCTGAAGATTTCCAAGATTTCAAATATTCCAAATATTACAAAGATTCCAAAGAATTCAAGGATGCCAAAAATTCCGAAGGTCCTGAAGATTCCGAAAGTTTCAAAGATTCCAAAAATTTCAAAGATTCCAAAGAATTCAAAGGTTCCAAACGTCCTGAACGTTTCAAACGTGGCAAAGGTTCCAAAAATTTCAAAGATTCTAAGGATTCCAAAGATTCCAAAAGTTCCAAAGTTCCTGAAGATTCCGAAGGTTTCAAAGATTCAAAAAATTTCAAATGTCAAGGATGCCAAAAATTCGGAAAGTTTCGAAAGTTCTAAAGATTTCGAAGACTCCAAATATTCCAAAGATTCCAAAGAATTCAAAGGTTCCAAACATTCCAAACGTTCCAAACGTGGCAAAGATTTCAAAGATTCCAAGGATTCCAAGGATGCCAAAGATACCAAAAGTTCCGAAGTTTCTGAAAATTTCAAAGATTCCAAAGGTCCCTAAGTTTCCAAAGGTTTTAAAGGTCAAAAGATTCTAAAGACGCGAAAGATTCCAAAAATTCGAAAATCTCGAAAGAGTCCACACACCTCAAAACCCAAAGATCACAAGGACCCCAAAGATTCCAAAGACTCTAAAGGTTTAGAAGGATTCTAGTTAATCAAAAAATTCTAAAAATTACAAAAATCGCATAATCGCTTAAGATGTTACAGATTTTAAAGATTCAAACACTCTACCGATTATGAAGAAATGAAAAATCCAAAAAATCTTAAATATCCTAAAAACGCTTCCTTTAAATTTTAAAAGTTTTAGAGATTCTAAAGATTTCAGAATTTCGAAAAATTCCAAAGGTTTATGTCGCTCCAAACATTCCAAATATTTCAAAGGTTACAGGGGCTCGAAAAGTTCTAGAAACTCAAAGAATTTAAAGATTTTAAAACGTTTTAAAAATCATAAAAATCAGGTATAAAATGGCAGCACATTTTGACAAACTCTAAAGACAGAAGAATAAATGTCTCTAGTTTTTCTTTTAAATGTGTAGCTAATAAATAATAATAACCATAATTTTTAAAATTCTTCACTTTTTAATTTTACGATTATAGAATTTTTCCATTTTTCAATTATTGGATTTTTAAAGTTTTTCATTTATTCGATTTTTCTATTTTTAATTTTTCAATTTCTTCATATTTTATTTTTCCACTTGATGTAACATTTTCTCGAGATTTCAGTTTTGACGATTTTATAATTTTTTGATTTTACAATTTTTGGATTTTCCACATTTTTCGATTTATCAACTTTTTGAACCAAAAAATGGGAAAATAGCAAAACTGTAAAATTGAAAAATAAAAAACGAAAAAAAAATACTGACAAAAAATTAATAAACTTAAAAAACGCAAAATAGAAAACACGAAATACGAATTATAAAATAGAAAAACTGCAAAATTGAAACATTTAAAAATTGAAAAACTAAGGAATTGAGAAACCAAAGATTGAAAATTTAAAAAATTGAATAATCGAAAAATTATAAAAACGAAGAAACAATGAAAAAATAATAAAAATGAACAAACGAAAAATTGTGACATAAAATCGAGAAAATGTAAATTAAAAAATCCGGAAAATGAAAAATTTTTGGTTTTTCCAATTTTTCGATTCGACTCAATTTTTTTTTTCATTCCATTTCCATTAATTAATGTTTTCGATTTGTGCCGTGAACACATAACGCGACATTTATTACAAATTACAACCAATAAATTTTAATTATTTGCTTTATTCAAATTGTTCCAAAAATGACCGAATTCGTTCCAACCGCCGCCGACTATAATTATCTAGTTTGAACAACCACGTCAAAACCATCAAAACGTCAAAATATGCCCCTATACCTGAAGACAGCCTTTTATCTCCCTGACGAATCTTTTACCCAAAGTGTCAAAGAAAATAGGTAAAAAATGAAAATTTCGTCAGCTCGGCCGCCCCTGTCAGCCGGCGATAAATTTATAGCAGGGCCTCTCTCCCCGGCAGCCGGCACCGCTCAATTAATTAGCCCCTTTGGCCGGTCCGATGTAGAACACGAATTCCAAAAATAAAGACAAAATGCCCACGATGTAAAACTATGTATAAATTACCGAAAATATGTAGCACGGTCCCTCTATATAACATCATTTATCTTCCGAGACGACCGTGGCGCCGTCTGGTATTGTTTTAAACCGCTGGTCCGCCTTCTGTCCTATTACCATAACTTCCTCCGCTGCCTACCTCTGCCCAAAAAAATAAATACATAATACGGTCTAGGTGGGCCATCCCCGGAAAAATATGCGCATCGAATGCCGATTTACGGCGAGGGGGAAAATCGTGGTGGTCGCAGCCGCGACGAATCGATACGGCTTTCCGCGGAAAAGTGGACTTTAATGGGGTTTTAAGTGGCCGATGAATTCTTTAACGCGCTGTTTTCTAGGCTCGGAGAGGTGAAGATGATTATAGTGTTTAAGGGAATTGGTCTAACTCGGGGCCATAGACACGGTAATTGCTTAGTTCCGATATTTTCGATGATAAATCAAATTTTTTCGGCTGGGTTCGAGGGCTTGGGAACGTGTCAGTCAACGGGATTATTAATACGAAAACGGGCTCGAAATAAGGAGTGAGCTGGGTGGCGAGCAATGTCCTCGGTGATGACTATGGATAAAATTTTAGAAAATAAAATAGTATTGGATTTCGAATTAACAAACGAGTCCTAAGATCTCCGTTTTGATATGATTCATAGGCGCTGATTAACATCCAAACAGTTATTGATGAATGATACTGATGTCAGTATTTTCATGTGGTCTATGAATCCGTCTTCAGTATTCCTAGACATCCAGATTTTTAATTTTCATTTTTCGTTTTCTCATTTCCTTTATTTTTTCAATATTTCTTTCGATTTTATAATTTTTCGTTTATTCAATTTCTCAAATTTTCAATCTTCCTCGGTTTTCCAAATTTTAAAATTTTTCAATTTTCCAATTTTTGGATTTTTCAGTTACCCGTTTTTCCGATTTTTTAATTTTCAATATTTCAATTTTAAAATACATATGTATTTCTTTTTTTCGATTTTGCACTTTTTAAATTTCTCAATTTTTAATCCTCCGAGTTTTCAATATTTCAAGTTCTTGATTTCCAATTCTTAGATTTTTCAAAGTTTACATTTTATACTTTTCCGTTTTTTCGCTTTTTATTTTTAAATTTTACAATTTTGCAATTTTATGACAAAAGTTTTAAAATCCACTAGTTTTTCAAAAATCAAACACCTCAAGATTCTTTCATGTTCTTTCAAAAATAGAAAAAGGACCCCTAAGATCCTTTCAGTCACCTTTATGTAATAAAACACTAATAGTCCCCCAGGTTCTATCAATTTTTTTCAAAAGTAACATCAACAATCGCTGAGATTCTTTCAAATTGTTTTAAAAATAAAACACCAAGAGTTTTCGCAATTTTTTTTGGATTCTTTTAAAAATAAAGCACAAAAGGTTCCCAAGATTCTTTTAATCACTTTTAAATAATAAAACACTAATGGCCTTCGGATTATTTCAAACTCTTTTAAAAATAAAACACCAAGCCCCCCCAAGAATTTTTCATATTCTTCTAAAAATTGAAAACTCGAGGCTTTCGAGGTGCTTAAATATTATTAAAAAAATAAACAAAACACCAGGAGTCACTGAGTCAAATTGTTTTAAAAATAAAACACCAAGGGTTTTCGATTTTTTTTTTGTATTTCTTTTTTAATAGAGCACAAAAGGCTCCCGAGATTCTTTTAATTACTTTTAAATAATAAAACACTGATGGTCCCCAAGATTATTTAGAAATCTTTTCAAAATAAAACACCAAGCCCCCCCCCAAGAATTTTTCATATTCTTCTAAAAATTAAAAACTCGAGGCTTTCGAGGTGCTTAAATATTATTAAAAAAATAAACAAAACACCAGGAGTCACTGAGTAAAATTGCTTTAAAAATAAAACACCAAGGGTTTTCGATTTTCTTTTGTATTTTTTTTTAAATAGAGCACAAGAGGTTCCCGAGATTCTTTTAATTACTTTTAAATAATAAAACACTGATGGCCCCCAAGATTATTTAGAAATCTTTTCAAAATAAAACACCAAGCCCCCCAAGAATTTTTCATATTCTTCTAAAAATTAAAAACTCGAGGCTTTCGAGGTGCTTAGATATTATTAAAAAAATAAACTAAACACCAGGAGTCACTGAGTCAAATTGTTTTAAAAATAAAACACCAAGGGTTTTCGATTTTTTCGTGTGTTTTTTTTTTTAATAGAGCACAAGAGTCTCCCGAGATTCTTTTAATTACTTTTAAATAATAAAACACTGATGGCTCCCGAGATTATTTAGAAATCTTTTCAAAATAAAACACCAAGCCCCCCCAAGAATTTTTCATATTCTTCTAAAAATTAAAAACTCGAAGCTTCCGAGGTGCTTAAATATTATTAAAAAAATAAACAAAACACCAGGAGTCACTGAGTCAAATTGTTTTAAAAATAAAACACCAAGGGTTTTCGATTTTTTCGTATTCTTTTAAAAATAGAGTACAAAAGGCTTCCCGAGATTCTTTTAATTACTTTTAAATAATAAAACACTAATGACCCCCGAGATTATTCCAAAATCTTTTAAAAATTAAACACTAAGAGTCCTCAAGATTCTTTCAGTCACTTTTAAATAATAGAGAACTAATGGTCCCCTAGATTCTATCAATTTTTTTTCAAAAATAACACATCAGAAGTCGCTGAGATGTTTTCAAATTCTATTTAAAATAAAGCACAGAAGGTCCGCGAAATTTTTTCAAATTCTTTTAAAAATAAAACACCAAAGGCCCCCAAGATTCTCTTAATCTCTTTCAAAAATAAAACACTTGGAGTTTCTGGAATTCTTTAAAATTCTTTCAAAAATAAAACACCAAAAGTCGCTGAGAATATTCAATATCTTTTTAAACATTAAATGCTAGAGACCCTCGAGATTCTTTTATACTCTCTTAAAAATGAAAACAAGGAACCCCGAGATTCTTCCAGATTCTTTAAAAATTAAAACACGAGGAGTTGTTGAGATTCTTTCAAATTCTTAAAAAAATAACACACCAAGAATTCTCGAGATTTTTTAATTATCTTATAAACGAAAATATGAAAGGCCCCGAAGATTCATTACAATTCTTTGAAAACTAAGACACCAGTTAACCCCGAGTCCTTTCAGATTCTTTCAAAAAAAAAAAAACGCAAACAGCTCTCGAGATTTCTTCCAACACTTTGAAAAATAAAACATTAAGTGCCCACGAGAACCTTCAAGATTCTTTTAAAAATTAAAGACTAGGGACCTTCGAGATTCTTTCATATTTTCTTAAAAATTAAAAACAAAGACCCCCGAGGTTCTTTCAAATTCTTTCAAAAATAAAACACCAAGCACCCTCAAGATTCGCTCAGTCTCTTTCAAAAATAAAACACTTGGAGTTTCTGGGATTGTTTAAAATTCTTTTAAAAATAAAACACCAAAAGTCGCTGAGAATCTTCAATATCTTTTTAAACATTAAATGCTAGAGACCCTTGAGATTCTTTTATATTCTCTTAAAAATGAAAACAAGGAACCGCGAGATTCTTCCAGATTCTTTAAAAAATAAAACACGAGGAGTTGTTGAGATTCTTTCAAATTTTTAAAAAAATAACACACCAAGAATTCTCGAGAATTTTTAATTATCTTATAAACGAAAATATGAAAGGCCCCGAAGATTCATTACAATTCTTTGAAAACTAAGACACCAGTTAACCCCGAGTTCTTTCAGATTCTTTCAAAAATAAAACACAAAGAAACCTCGAGATTTCTTCCAACACTTTGAAAAATAAAACACTAAGGGCCCACGCGAACCTTCAATATTCTTTTAAAAATTAAAGACTAGGGACCTTCGAGATTCTTTCATATTTTCTTAAAAATTAAAAACAAAGACCCCCGAGGTTCTTTCAAATTCTTTCAAAAATAAAACACCAAGCACCCTCAAGATTCGCTCAGTCTCTTTCAAAAATAAAACACTTGGAGTTTCTGGAATTCTTTAAAATTCTTTCAAAAATAAAACACCAAAGGTCGCTGAGAATATTCAATATCTTTTTAAACATTAAATGCTAGAGACCCTCGAGATTCTTTTATACTCTCTTAAAAATGAAAACAAGGGAACCGCGAGATTTTTCCAGATTCTTTAAAAAATAAAACACGAGGAGTTGTTGAGATTCTTTCAAATTCTTAAAAAAGTAACACACCAAGAATTGTCGAGATTTTTTAATTATCTTATAAACGAAAATATGAAAGGCCCCAAGGATTCATTACAATTCTTTGAAAACTAAGACACCAGTTAACCCCGAGTTGTTTCAGATTCTTTCAAAAAAAAAACGCAAAGAACTCTCGAGATTTCTTCCAACACTTTGAAAAATAAAACATTAAGTGCCAACGAGAACCTTCAAGATTCTTTTAAAAATTAAAGACTAGGGACCTTCGAGATTCTTTCATATTTTCTTAAAAATTAAAAACAAAGACCCCCGAGGTTCTTTCAAATTCTTTCAAAAATAAAACACCAAGCACCCTCAAGATTCGCCCAGTCTCTTTCAAAAATAAAACACTTGGAGTTTCTGGAATTCTTTAAAATTCTTTCAAAAATAAAACGCCAAAGGTCGCCGAGAATCTTCAATATCTTTTTAAACATTAAATGCTAGAGACCCTCGAGATTCTTTTATACTCTCTTAAAAATGAAAACAAGGGAACCGCGAGATTTTTCCAGATTCTTTAAAAAATAAAACACGAGGAGTTGTTGAGATTCTTTCAAATTTTTAAAAAAGTAACACACCAAGAATTGTCGAGATTTTTTAATTATCTTATAAACGAAAATATGAAAGGCCCCAAGGATTCATTACAATTCTTTGAAAACTAAGACACCAGTTAACCCCGAGTTCTTTCAGATTCTTTCAAAAAAAAAAACGCAAAGAGCTCTCGAGATTTCTTTCAACACTTTGAAAAATAAAACATTAAGTGCCCACGAGAACCTTCAAGATTCTTTTAAAAATTAAAGACTAGGGACCTTCGAGATTCTTTCATATTTTCTTAAAAATTAAAAACAAAGACCCCCGAGGTTCTTTCAAATTCTTTCAAAAATAAAACACCAAGCACCCTCAAGATTCGCCCAGTCTCTTTCAAAAATAAAACACTTGGAGTTTCTGGAATTCTTTAAAATTCTTTCAAAAATAAAACGCCAAAGGTCGCCGAGAATCTTCAATATCTTTTTAAACATTAAATGCTAGAGACCCTCGAGATTCTTTTATACTCTCTTAAAAATGAAAACAAGGGAACCGCGAGATTTTTCCAGATTCTTTAAAAAATAAAACACGAGGAGTTGTTGAGATTCTTTCAAATTTTTAAAAAAGTAACACACCAAGAATTGTCGAGATTTTTTAATTATCTTATAAACGAAAATATGAAAGGCCCCAAGGATTCATTACAATTCTTTGAAAACTAAGACACCAGTTAACCCCGAGTTCTTTCAGATTCTTTCAAAAAAAAAAACGCAAAGAGCTCTCGAGATTTCTTTCAACACTTTGAAAAATAAAACATTAAGTGCCCACGAGAACCTTCAAGATTCTTTTAAAAATTAAAGACTAGGGACCTTCGAGATTCTTTCATATTTTCTTAAAAATTAAAAACAAAGACCCCCGAGGTACTTTCAAATTCTTTCAAAAATAAAACACCCAGCACCCTCAAGATTCGCTCAGTCTCTTTAAAAAATAAAACACTTGGAATTTTTGGAATTCTTTAAAATTCTTTTAAAAATAAAACACCAAAGGTCGCCGAGAATCTTCAATATCTTTTTAAACATTAAAACACCCAGGGCCCTCGAAATTCTGTCAAACCGTTTCAAGAATAAAACATCCCGGGTTACTGAAATTCTTTCATAATCAATCTTTTAAAAATAAAATACCAAAGGCTCCCGAGAATGTCCAATATTCTTTTAAAATTAAACACTAGGATCCTTCGACATTAATTCAAACTTTTTTAAATAATAAAACACTAATAAACCCCGAGATTCTTTCAGATTCTTGCATTAAAAAAAAAACACTATAAGAGCATTTACGATTACTTCCAAAACTTCGAAAAGTGAAACAAAAATGACCTTCAGGTTCTTCCAAATTCTTTTACAGATAAAACACTAAGGCCCCCCCCCAAAAGCTTGCAATATTCTTTGAAAAATGAAAAATTCAATTCTGTTACATTATTAAATTATCATTTCGTTCGGAATTTTCCAAAACCGCAACAAAGTTCAAAAATCGCCTCGATTTCGCTTAGAAACTCTCGTTTTACGTAACGTCCGAGCAGCAGTACCTTTCACATGGCCCGAGTGAGCAAATCCCTAGTAAAATCAGACATTAGTGAAATTATTTGAAAGGCCATTACGGCCACATCACGATCAGACCATAACAATCTGATAATTTCCGAGTGCGCACCGAAGAGACCAGCAACGGAAGAAACGTTGGTAATCCAGCGTTAGCTCGCCTCGGGATATTTGGTATAATAAGGTTGGTACTACGTCACGCTAAGTGATGATTTCGCTAACAAGGTGCTCACAGATATCCGAGGAGGCCGAACCCCCCCGTCATAATCACAGGTTACATCCTGACCATATTTCATACTGGGAGGTCTGCTTGCGACCACTATTCGCGCAAATATTTCGTGCTTTATTTAAGCGATCGCTTTTTTTATCACAGCACAATGGGCCACGATTTTTTGTGGTGGGTCGGTGGCAAAAAATGGGACAGTTTTTAGGTGAAGTCGAGCCACTTTGTGCGGATTTTATTGCTGTTGGTGGTGGTCGTCGTTTTTTAAATTAGTTCGGAGGCTATGTCTATATCTAGATGTGGAGGCTTAATTAACTGAAAATATTTCTCTTTTGGGACGTTATTTTAAAATTTTAACTTCATTTTCTTGAAATTGTGGAAATACAGTGCCTGCTGATTTATTCGCATTTTAATTACCTTAGTACCACCTACCTAAACTGGTACTACTTAAACATAAACTTATACTAAGAAAAAATAAAATTCGCAGACTCATTTTTTTACAGAAGTAACAATTTAAAATTAAATAAACTTGTCTTTGGTCGTTGCATTTCAACTAGAGCAAGCTTTCAAAAATTTTAACAAAGACAAATCTCTAAAAATCCATGGCTGTTTGAAATAGAGTTTTTTATAAAGTTTTAATTTATCGCACCCTATAACTTTAAATTTATGGATTTTTGAACAACTCGTCAACTTTTTCGCATATATTAAAAATCACCCTGTATATCGGTTTCCATCATTTATCGTCAACATTTTTTTTTACAAAATTTTCCGAGGTCCTTTGTATCTTGTTCTACTTAAAAAAAAAAAATAACTGATCTCCAACGAGCCCCATGTTTTGTTTTTAAAAGAATTTGAAACCACTTTGAAGACTTGTGGTGATTTTGTTCTTGAAAAAAACTGAATAAATCTCGAGGACTCTTGAGGGTTCCCGATATTTTATTTTTTTAAAAATCTGAAAGAATTTCGGGGGGTCCGTGATGTTTTTTTATTTTTAAGGCAGTATAAAAGAATTTCTAGTGTTTCATTTTTAAAACAATCTTGAAATTTCTTGAAAGCCCTTGGTGTTTTATTTTTAAAAGAATCTGAAAGAATTTCAGAAGCTCCTAGTGTTTTATTATGCTGCTGGTGTTCTATTTTTCAAAGAGTTTGAAAGAATATTGGCAACTTTTGGTGTTTTATCTTTAAAACAATTTGAAAGGATCTCGGAGGCCGTTAGTGTTTTATTAATTTTATTATTTAACAGTGATTGAAAGAACCTTGGTGGATCCTTGGTGTTTTATTTTTAAAAGAATCTGAAAGAATCTCGGAGATCCGTTGTTTTTCATTTTTAAAGGATTATGAAAAATCTCGAGGGCTTCTAGTGTTTAATTTTTAAAACGATTTTGAAATTTCTGGAGATCCCTTGGTGTTTTATTTCTGAAAAGAACCTTTATGGATCCTTGGTGTTTTATTTTTAAAAGAATTTGTAAGAATCTCGGAGGGCATTAGTGTATTATTATTTAACAGTGATTGAAAGAACCTTGTTGGATCCCTGATGTTTTATTTAAAAAAAAATTGAAAGAAGTTCACCGACTCCTGGTATCTTATTTTTGAAAGAATGGGAAAGACTTTCGGAGATCCTTTGTTTTTTATTTTTAAGGGGATATGAAACAAACTCTAGTGCATCTAGTGTTTAATTTTTAAAACAATCTTCAAATTTCTGAAGAGCCCTTGGTGTTTTATTTTTAATAGAATCTGGAAGAATTTCGGACGCTCCTAGTGTTTTATTATGCTGCTAGTGTTTTATTTTTCAAAGAGTTTGAGAGAATCTCGGGGACCTTTGATGATATGTTTTTAAAACAATTTGAAAGAATCTCGGAGGCCGTTGGTGTTTTATTAATTTTATTATTTAACAGTGATTGAAAAAACCTTGGTGGATCCTTGGAGTTTTATTTTTTAAAAAATCTGATAGAATCTCGGAGATCCGTTGTTTTTATTTTTGAGGGATTATGAAACATCTCGAGGGCTTCTAGTATTTAATTTTTAAAACGATTTTGAAATTTCTGGGGATCCCTTGGTGTTTTATTTCTAAAAAGAACCTTTATGAGTCCTTGGTGTTTTATTTTTAAAAGAATTTGTAAGAATCTCGGAGGACATTAGTGTATTATTATTTAACAGTGATTGAAAGAACCTTGTTGGATCCCTGATGTTTTATTTAAAAAAAAATTTGAAAGAATTTCAGCGACTCCTGGTATTTTATTTTTGAAAGAATCGGAAAGAATTTCGGAGATCTTTTGTTTTTTATTTTTAAGGGGATATGAAAGAATCTCTAGGACATCTAGTGTTTAATTTTTTAAAAATCTTGAAATTTCTGAAGAACCCTTGGAGTTTTAATTTTAAAAGAATCTGAAAGAATTTCGGAAGCTCCTAGTGTTTTATTATGCTGCTAGTGTTTTATTTTTCAAAGAGTTTGAAAGAATCTCGGGGACCTTTGATAGTTTGTTTTTAAAACAATTTGAAAGAATCTCGGAGATCCGTTTGAGGGATTATGAAAAATCTCGAGAGCTTCTAGTGTTTAATTTTTAAAACGATTTTGAAATTTCTGGAGATCCCTTGGTGTTTTATTTTTAAAAGAATTTGTAAGAATCTCAAAGGGCATTAGTGTATTATTATTTAACAGTGATTGAAAGAACCTTGTTGGATCCCTGATGTTTTATTTAAAAAAAAATTGAAAGGAGTTCACCGACTCCTGGTATCTTATTTTTGAAAGAATGGGAAAGACTTTCGGAGATCCTTTGTTTTTTATTTTTAAGGGGATATGAAACAAACTCTAGTGCATCTAGTGTTTAATTTTTAAAACAATCTTCAAATTTCTGGAGAGCCCTTGGTGTTTTATTTTTAATAGAATCTGAAAGAATTTCGGAAACTCCTGGTGTTTTATTATGCTGCTGGTGTTTTATTTTTCAAAGAGTTTGAAAGAATGTCGGGGACCTTTGATGGTTTGTTTTTAAAACAATTTGAAAAGATCTCGGAGGCCGTTAGTGTTTTATTAATTTTATTATTTAACAGTGATTGAAAGAACCTTGGTGGATCCTTGGTGTTTTATTTTTAAAAGAATCTGAAAGAATCTCGGAGATCCGTTGTTTTTTTAATTTTAAGGGATTATGAAAAATCTCGAGGGCTTCTAGTGTTTAATTTTTAAAACGATTTTGAAATTTCTGGAGATCCCTTGGTGTTTTATTTTTAATAGAATCTGAAAGAATTTCGGAAACTCCTGCTGTTTTATTATGCTGCTGGTGTTTTATTTTTCAAAGAGTTTGAAAGAATGTCGGGGACCTTTGATGGTTTGTTTTTAAAACAATTTGAAAAGATCTCGGAGGCCGTTAGTGTTTTATTAATTTTATTATTTAACAGTGATTGAAAGAACCTTGGTGGATCCTTGGTGTTTTATTTTTAAAAGAATCTGAAAGAATCTCGGAGATCCGTTGTTTTTTTAATTTTAAGGGGTTATGAAAAATCTCGAGGGCTTCTAGTGTTTAATTTTTAAAACGATTTTGAAATTTCTGGAGATCCCTTGGTGTTTTATTTCTGAAAAGAACCTTTATGGATCCTTGGTGTTTTATTTTTAAAAGAATTTGTAAGAATCTCGGAGGGCATTAGTGTATTATTATTTAACAGTGATTGAAAGAACCTTGTTGGATCCCTGATGTTTTATTTAAAAAAAAATTGAAAGAAGTTCACCGACTCCTGGTATCTTATTTTTGAAAGAATGGGAAAGACTTTCGGAGATCCTTTGTTTTTTATTTTTAAGGGGATATGAAACAAACTCTAGTGCATCTAGTGTTTAATTTTTAAAACAATCTTCAAATTTCTGGAGAGCCCTTGGTGTTTTCTTTTTAATAGAATCTGAAAGAATTTCGGAAACTCCTGGTGTTTTATTATGCTACTGGTGTTTTATTTTTCAAAGAGTTTGAAAGAATGTCGGGGACCTTTGATGGTTTGTTTTTAAAACAATTTGAAAAGATCTCGGAGGCCGTTAGTGTTTTATTAATTTTATTATTTAACAGTGATTGAAAGAACCTTGGTGGATCCTTGGTGTTTTATTTTTAAAAAAATCTGAAAGAATCTTGGAGATCCGTTGTTTTTTATTTTTGAGGGATTATGAAAAATCTCGAGGGCTTCTAGTATCTAATTTTTAAAACGATTTTGAAATTTCTGGAGATTCCTTGGTGTTTTATTTCTAAAAAGAACCTTTATGGATCTTTGGTGTTTTATTTTTAAAAGAATTTGTAACAATCTGGGAGGGCATTAGTGTATTATTATTTAACAGTGATTGAAAGAACCTTGGTGGATCCCTCATGTCTTATTTAAAAAAAAAATGGAAAGAATTTCAGCGACTCCTGGTATTTTATTTTCGAAAGAATCGAAAAGAATTTCGGAGATCTTTTGTTTTTTATTTTTAAGGGGATATGAAAGAAACTCTAGTGCATCTAGTGTTTAATTTTTAAAACAATCTTCAAATTTCTGGAGAGCCCTTGGTGTTTTATTTTTAATAGAATCTGAAAGAATTTCGGAAACTCCTAGTGTTTTATTATGCTACTGGTGTTTTATTTTTCAAAGAGTTTGAAAGAATCTCGGAAATCTTTGATGGTTTGTTTTTAAAACAATTTGAAAGGATCTCGGAGGCCGTTAGTGTTTTATTAATTTTATTATTTAACAGTGATTGAAAGAACCTTGGTGGATCCTTGGTGTTTTATTTTTAAAAGAATCTGAAAGAATCTCTGAGATCCGTTGTTTTTTATTTTTGAGGGATTATGAAAAATCTCGAGGGATTCTAGTGTTTAGTTTTTAAAACGATTTTGAAATTTCTGGAGATCCTTTGGTGTTTTATTTCTGAAAAGAACCTTTATGGATCCTTGGTGTTTTATTTTTAAAAGAATTTGTAAGAATCTCGGAGGGCATTAGTGTATTATTATTTAACAGTGATTGAAAGAACCTTGGTGGATCCCTGGTGTTTTATTAAAAAAAAAAATTGAAAGAATTTCAGCGACTTCTGGTATTTTATTTTTGAAAGAATCGGAAAGAATTTCGGAGATTTTTTGTTTTTTATTTTTAAGGGGATATGAAAGAATCTCTAGGGCAGTGTTTAATTTTTAAAACAATCTTCAAATTTCTGGAGATCCCTTGGTGTTTTATTTTGAATAGAATCTGAAAGAATTTCGGAAACTCCTAGTGTTTTATTATACTACTGGTGTTTTATTTTTCAAAGAATTTGAAAGAATCTCGGCAACTCTTGGTGTTTTATTATTTAATAGTGACTGAAAGAACTTTGGAGGGTCCTTGGATTTTTATTTTTAAAAAAATTTGAAAGAATCTCAGCAACTCCTGATGTTTTATTTTTAAAAGAATCTGAAAAAATTTCATTAGCTTCTAGTGTTTTATTTTTAAAAGAATTTGAAAGAATCTCGGGGGACATTAATGTTTTATTATTTAATAGTAATTGAAAGAATCTCGGAGATCCTTCGTTTTTATTTTTAAGGGTATATGAAAAAATCACGAGGGCATCTAGTATCTAATTTCTAAAACAATCTTGAAATTTCTGGAGAGCTCTTGGTGTTTTATGTTTAAAAGAATCTGAAAGAATTTCAACAGCTCCTAGTGTTTTATTATACTACTGGTGTTTTAATTTTTAAAGAGTTTGAAAGAATCTCAGGAATCCTTGTTGTTTTATTTCTAAATGAATTTGAAATAATCTCGGGTGCCGTTATTGTTTTATATTTAACAGTGATTGAAAGAACCTTTATGGAACCTTAGTGTTTTATGTTTAAAAGAATTGAAAAGAATGTCAGCCACTTCTGGTGATTTATTTTTGAAAGAATTTGAAAAAATCCTTTTTTTTATTTTTAAAGGAATATGAAAAAATCTCGACCGTATCTACTGTTTAATTTTTAAAACAATCTTGAAATTTCTAAAGAGCCTTTGGTGTTTTATTTTTAAAAGTGTCTGAAAGAATTTCAGAAGCTCATAGTGTTTTATTATGCTGCTGGTGTTTTATTTTTAAAAGAATTTGAAAGAATCTCGGGGGTCATTAGTGTTTTATTATTTACCAGTGACTGAAAGAACCTCGGTGGATCCTTGGTGTTTTATTTTTAAACGAATTTCCGCAACTCCTGGTGCTTTATTTTTGAAATAATCTGAAAGAATCTTGAAAACTCCAAGAGTTTAATTTTTAAAAGAATGTTGAATTTTTTCGAGGGCCCTTGGTGTTTTATTTTCAAAAGAATTTTAAAGAATCTAAAGGCCCTTTTTGTTTTATTTCTCAAAGTGTTGGAAATAATCTTGAGGGCTTTGAGTGTTTTATTATTTTTGAAAGAATCTGAAAGAACTCAGAGACAACTAGAATCTTATTTGTCAAAGAGTTTGAAAGAATCCCAAGAACCCTTTGTGATTTGTTTTTAACAGATAATAAAGAATCTCTGAATTCCTTGGTGTTTTATACTTAAAACAATTTGAAAGAATTTCAACGACTCCTGATGTTTTATTTTCGAAACAGTCTGAAAGAACCTAGATAACCATTAGTGTTTTATTATTTAAAAATGATTGGAAGAATATCAAGCTTCTAGTGTTTAATTTTAAATCCTTGGTGTTTCATTTTAAAATAAATATGAAAAAATCTAGGTGGACTACTGGTGTTTTATTTAGGAAAGAATACGAAAAATCTCGGAAACTCTTGGCGTTTTATTGAAATAATAATAATAATAATATTAAAAAAGAATTTCGGAAGTCATTAGTGTTTTAGTTTTTAAAAGTGGTTGAAAGAATCTTTCGATTGGCAATAGTTGTAAATATTTTGCTATAACTTGTTGAAAATTACTTAATAATCACCAACGAAAACTGAAAAACATCAAGGTGCTAATACGCATCCCTGAGGTATAAACAACAAAAACAAGTTAATTTTGTTTGATTTTAAAACACCTCTGTCAAACGCTCTATAGTTACTAAAATCCCCAAGACTCTCTCAATCCGGTCCTGCCAAGAATTTTCCCACCGCCGCCGCCGCTTCCGTCCGCGTTTATTAATCGCTCCAATTGTCTCGCCGCCTAATATTCGCCATCTTGGACGAAAAGGGGGCGCCAATTACGCGGATAAATTGCGCTCCCAATCAAGCAGTCGCTTTGCATACATATTACGCATTAACCTCATCAATGATGATGTCTTGAAACAACGCGGCCACCTTTGACCCCGAAACGGGGTCCACGGAGCGACGCGGTGGGTCCATCGGTACCCTCTAATAGACGACAATTGCGACTGTGGCCGAAGCCGCCAATCGCCACGATTACATCATTTTAATTGGATGAGTTTAGAAAAAAAATCCGAGAAAAACGCAAGAAAGCAGTTTTGATGCTCGACAATGTCACTGACGAAAAGCGAAAATAGCAGCGGTCCCAGCACACCCCTACAACCATGACAACTGTAACAATTTTTTTTTCGACGACCGGAACACCACCTCAGGAATTTTCCAGCGCCAATTAAAGCGTGTAATTACACATGCTTCGATTAAATTAAATGGCCATCCCTCCGCCGTCCGTCCAGCCGCCTTCGATCCCATCCTTCCAGTCACCGTAGAATCTCAAAATCTTGGCGCCACCATACAGATGTTTAACATTCCATCGTCCGACCATCGTGCATGTGAACAAGAGTCGGCACAGACGAAAATCAATTAACGAACCGAAAAGAAAAAAAGAGCCGTGAATAAGCAAATCACCTGCTTCATACCTCATTGGTCGACCGCCGATCATTTATCGTCGACGTTTCAACACTTGTCAGAGGTTTCTGCGGAAAGCGATTACGCGCCGGATTAAAAGCGCTAACGAGTCGACGCTGCCCGAAAACGATCAGGGAACGATGACCGGATTGGCATTCGCCGATCAAAAATCGCGAGGTGGATGGGCGAATCGACGTGGCGTCGGAAACACAAGCGACGTAAACTATGGTAAATGAAACCTGTATTTTTTTGTGACACTATTTGAATATTAAAAATAAAAATGTAAGAATAAAATGTCTTTTTTTTCAACAGAACCGGTTATGGGTGCGGTACGAACAGTCTAGATATTAAATGGTGCACTGTTTAATTATGGAAACAGCGTAATAAGTACCCACCTACCAAGAAGATTAACAATAATTCTTCACATTTATTTTTAAAATATAAAAAAAAATATTGGCCAGAAATGTATAAGCCAAAAATAATAATAACCCCTTGAAACGAATGAACAATTTCTTCAAAAATATGAATGCATTAATAAAACGCAACGTTTTGCCTGTATTTCTAAGCACACGTATGTCAGTTTCGACACGTGCAGTATACTACGAATAAAAATCATAAGATTTGGATGTCAAAGAAAAATCGTTACAGATTTTCTTTAATTATATTTTGAAATGAAAGAATCTCGGGTGTTTTCTGTTTTGTTTTGAAGTAGTTTTAAAAAATCTCGGAGACATTTTGCGTCTGGTTTTTGAAGTAGTTTTAAAGAATCCCTTATCTTCTCTTTGAACTAATTTGAAAAAATCCCGAAGATCCTTCTGTGTATTTTTTTTTAAGTAATATATTAGAATCTCGGGGATCAATTGTGTCTTGTTTTTGAAGTAGTTTGAAAGAACCTTGTTTTTAAAGTAATTTGAAAGAATCTCGGAGTCCCCCCGAGCTCTATTTTTGAAGTGGTTTAAAAGAATCTCGAGTATTTCTTGTGTTTTGTTTTTGAAGTGGTTTGAAAAGATCTCGAAGACCTCCTGTAGGTCTAGTTTTTGAAGCAATTTGAAAGAATCTCGGGTTTTTTTTGTTTTGTTTTGGAGTAGTTTTAAATAATCTCGGCGACATTTTGCGTCTGGTTTTTGAAGTAACTTGAAAGAATCTCGGAGGTCCCCTAAGTTTTAATTTTGAAGTGGTTTAAAAGAACCTCGAGGATCTCTTGTGTTTTGTTTTTGAAGTAGTTTGAAAAAATCCCTTGTCATCTCTTTGAACTAATTTGAAAGAATCTCGGGGATCTTTCGGGTATTTTTTGAAGTGATTTATTAGATCCTTGAGGATTATATGTGTTTTGTTTTTGAAGTAGTTTGAAAGAATCTTATTTTTCGAGTAATTTGAAACAATCTCGGGGTTCCCCTGAGCTTTATTTTTGAAGTGGTTTAAAAGAATCTCGAGGATATCTTGTGTTTTGTTTTTGAAGTAATTTGAAAATATCTCGAAGACCTCCTCTAGGTCTAGTTTTTGAAGCAATTTGGAAGAATCTCGGGGTCTTTTCTGATTTGTTTTGGAGTAGTTTTAAAGAATCTCGGCTACATTTTGCGTCTGGTTTTTGAAGTAATTTGAAAGAATCTCGGAGGTCCCCCGAGTTTTATTTTTGAAGTGATTTAAAAGAACCCCGACGATCTCTTGTGTTTTGTTTTTGAAGTAGTTTGAAAAAATTCCTTGTCATCTCTTTGAACCAATTTGAAAGAATCTCGGGGATCTTTCGGGTATTTTTTTGAAGTGATTTATTAGAATCTTGGGGATTATATGTGTTTTGTTTTTGAAGTAGTTTGAAAGAATTTTGTTTTTCAAGTAGTTTGAAAGAATCTCGGAGTTCCCCGGAGCTTTATTTTTGAAGTGGTTTTAAAGAATCTCGAGGATATCTTGTGTTTTGTTTTTGAAGTAGGTTGAAAAGAATCTCGAACACCTCCTGTAGGTCTAGTTTTTGAAGCAATTTGGAAGAATCTCGGGGTTTTTTCTGATTTGTTTTGGAGTAGTTTTAAAGAATCTCGGCAACATTTTGCGTCTGGTTTTCGAAGTAAATTGAAAGAATCTCGGAGGTCCCCTGAGTTTTATTTTTGAAGTGGTTTAAAAGAACCTCAAGGATCTCTTGTGTTTTGTTTTTGAAGTAGTTTGAAAAAATTCATTGTCATCTCTTTGAACTGATTTGAAAGAATCTCGGGATCTTTCGGGTATTTTTTTGAAGTGATTTATTAGAATCTTGGGGATTATTTGTTTTTTGTTTTTGAAGTATTTTGAAAAAATCTTGTTTTTCAAGTAATTTGAAAGAATCTCGGAGTTCCCGCGAGCTTTATTTTTGAAGTGGTTTAAAAGAATCTCGAGGATATCTTGTGTTTTGTTTTTGAAGTAGTTTGAAAATATCTCAAAAACCTCCTGTAGGTCTAGTTTTTGAAGCAATTTGAAATAATGTCGGGGTCTTTTCTGATTTGTTTTGGAGTAGTTTTAAAGAATCTCGGCGACATTTTGCGTCTGATTTTTGAAGTAACTTGAAAGAATCTCGGAGGTCCCCTAAGTTTTAATTTTGAAGTCGTTTAAAAGAACCCCGAGGATCTCTTGTGTTTTGTTTTTGAAGTAGTTTGAAAAAATCCATTGTCATCTCTTTGAACTAATTTGAAAGAATCTCGGGGACCTCTCGGGTATTTTTTTGAAGTGATTTATTAGAACCTTGGGGATTATATGTGTTTTGTTTTTGAAGTAGTTTGAAAGAATCTTGTTTTTCAAGTAATTTGAAACAATCTCGGAATTCCCCTGACCTTTATTTTTGAAGTGATTTCAAAGAATCTCGAGAATATCTTGTGTTTAATTTTTGAAGTAGTTTGAAAAAATCCCGAAGACGTCCTGTAGGTCTAGTTTTTAAACCAATTTGAAATAATCTCGCGGTCTTTTCTGGTTTGTTTTGGAGTAGTTTTAAAGAATCTCGGCTACATTTTGTGTCTGGTTTTTGAAGTAATTTGAAAGAATCTCGGAGATCCTAAATTTTATTTTTTAAGTGGTTTAAAAGAACCTCCAGGATCTCTTGTGTTTTGTTTTTGAAGTAGTTTGAAAAAATCCATTGTCATCTCTTTGAACTAATTTGAAAGAATCTCTGGATCTTTCGGGTATTTTTTTGAAGTGGTTTATTAGAATCTTGGGGATTATATGTGTTTTATTTTTGAAGTAGTTTGAAAGAATCCTGTTTTTCAAGTAATTTGAAAGAATCTCGGTGTTCCCCTGAGCTCTATTTTTGAAGTGGTTTAAAAGAATCTCGAGGATCTCTTGTGTTTTGTTTTTGAAGTTGTTTGAAAGGATCTCATCGACCTCCTGTGGGTTTTGTTTTTGAAGTAATTTGAAAGAATCTCGGGAGTCTCTTGTGTTTTGTTTTGGAGTAGTTTTAAAGAATCTCAGCGACATTTTTCGTTTGATTTTTGAAGTACTTTTAAAGAATGTCAAGGAGTCTTTGATTTTTGTATTTAGAGAAGTTTGAAATAATCTCGGAAGTCTCTTGTGTTTTGTTTTGCAGTAGTTTTTAAGAATCCCGGCTACATTTTGCGTTTAGTTTTTGAAGTAATTAGTTTTAAAGAATGTCAAGGACCCTTTGTCTTTTGTTTTTGAAAAAGTTTGAAAGAATCCCCTGTCTTCTCTTTGAGCTAATTGGAAAGAATCTCGAACTTTTTTTAAGTAATTTATTTAAATCTCTGAGATCACTTGTGTTTTGTGTTTGAAGTAGTTTGAAAGAATTCCGAGGGTTTCTTGTGTTTTGTTTTGGAGTAGTTTTAAAGAATCTCAGCGATATTTTTCGTCTGATTTTTGAAGTAGTTTTAAAGAATATCAAGGGCTCTTTGATTTTTGTTTTTGGAGAAGTTTGAAAGAATCTCGGGAGTCTCTTGTGTTTTGTTTTGCAGTAGTTTTTAAGAATCTCGGCAACATTTTGCGTTTGGTTTTTGAAGTACTTAGTTTTAAAGAATGTAAACGACCCTTTTTCTTTTGTTTTTGAAAAAGTTTGGAAGAATCCCCTGTCTTCTCTTTCAGCTAATTGGAAAGAATCTCGGAGATCTTCCCGTACTTTTTTTAAATAATTTATTAGAATCTCTAATATCACTTGTGCTTTGTGTTTGAAGTAGGTTGAAAAAAACCCGGGGGTTTCTTGTATTTTGTTTTGGAGTAGTTTTAAAGAATCCCAGCGACATTTTTCGTCTGATTTTTTAAGTAGTTTTTATGAATGTCAAGAACTCTTTGATTTTTGTTTTTGAAGTAATTTGAAAGAATCTCGAGGGTGTCTTGTATTTTGTTTTGGAGTAGTTTTAAAGAATTTCGGCGACATTTTACGTCTGGTTTTTGAAGTAGTTTTAAAGAATCCCGGAACCCCCTATGGATCTTATTTTTTAAATAATTTGAAAGAACCTCAGAGGCCTCCTGAGTTTTATTTTTGAAGTCGTTTAAAAGAATCTCGACAATTATTTGTGTTTTTTGTTTTTTGAGAAAGTTTGAAAGAATCCGGGGGGCTCTTTCTGAAAGTCTGAAAGAATCTCAGCGACATTTTGCGTCTGATTTTTGAAGTAGTTTGAAAGAATGTCGAGGACTCTTTGTGTTTTGTTTCTCAAGAAGTTTGAAAGAATCCCTTGTCTTGTCTTGAACTAATTGGAAAGAATCTCAGGGATTTTTCTGTATATTGTTTTGAAGTGGTTTAAAATAATCTCGGAAATCCCTTCTGTTCTGTTTTTGAAGTAGTTTGAACGAATCTCGGCGACTCCCTGTAGGTCTTGTCTTTAAAATAATTCGAAGGAATTGTATTGTTTTTGAAGTAGTTTGAAATCATTTAAGGGACTCCTTGTGGATCGTCTTTTTGAAGTAACTTGAAAGAGTCACGGAGGCCCCTTGAGTTTTATATTTGAAATGGTTTAAAAGAATCTCGAAGCTCCCGTGAGTTTTGTTTTTGAAGTAGTTTGAAAGGTTCTTGGGGATCCTTGTGGGTCTTGTTTTTGAAGTAATTTAAAAGAGTCACGGAGGTCCCTTGAGTTTTATATCTGAAGTTGTTTAAAAGAATTTCGGGGCTCCCTTGCGAGGTTTGTTTTTGAAGTAATTTGAAACAATCTCGGGGACCCATTGACTTTTGTTCTTGATGTGGTTAAAAAGAATCTCGGAAATTCCCAGTGGATTTTGTTTCTGAAGTAACTTGAAAGAGTCACGGAGGCCAGTGGAGTTTTATATTTGAAGTAGGTTAAAAGAATCTCGAGGCTCCCTTGAATTTTGTTTTTGAAGTAGTTTGCATGGATTTTGAAGACTTTTTATGGGCCCTTGTGTTTCGTTTCGGAAAGGGTCTCGGCGACTTTTGCAGCTTGTTTTTGAAGTAGTTTTAAAGAATGTCAATGACACTTTGCCCTTTGTTTTTGAAGAAGTTTGGAAGAATCCCTAATTTTGTCTCTGAACTAATTTGAAAGAATCTCGGGAATTCTTCAGTGTATTGTTTTTGAAGTGATTTATTAGAATCTCGGGGAATACTTGTGTTTTGTTTTTGAAGTAGTTTAAAATAATCTCGGGGACTCCATATGGGTCTTGTTTTTAAAGTAGTTTTTGAAGGAATCTTGGGGACTCCTTGTGGGTCTTGTTTCTGAAGTAATTTGAAAAAATTCAAAATTGTATTTTACAATTTAACTTTAAAATTGGAAAAGCGAATGTACTGAAAAATTGCAAACGTTTTAAGGTTATAGGAAACATGATAAATCGTTAATCAAAATTTGTTTGTTTAAAGTCTTCCCAAAATTTTATAAAATAACATATTCCCGTATATGTGATTTATGAATCCGTGTTGAGTTTTCACCCTTAGCAACCAGATTAAAAAAAATCAACATTGTATAACAATATTTTATAATTTAACTTTGAAGTAAAATCATGCAAATATTTTAAGATTGAAGAATTGATAGCGGTTGAAGTATAAATATAAACAGTCGAAGTTAAGCATAGATATACTGAGTAATCGTAATTTTTTCAATTTTCTCGATCATCCTTCTCGGAGCGCCTATTTCGCAGGAACGCAATTAGCGAGTCTCCTCCGGCGAGCTGCTCGCCGGACCGTCGACCGGTTTCGCGTCATCAGCGCAGCGCGCCCGACGCGTCCGAATAAATCACGGCGAATTGGGATTTTTTCATCCAGATATCGATGACATCGCCATAAACAATACCGGCATGGTAAAGTATGGGCCCAGCGTGGCGCCTTAATTAAAATACGTCTTTACGGACGACTATTAATAATTAGGTGGTGATTACCTTTGTAGAAACGACGACGACGTCATGATGATGCGTTTTAAACTTATGAAAGTAGAGATCATAGGTGCCATTGTGGCGGTAACATGGCCAGATTCATTTGTTAGCGGTCCCGGGCTCGGTGGGTGGTAGCATGGGCTGTTGTGCCGCCTTTTGTTTTAGCCGAGGCACTCTGCCTACGCGGATAAATTGCAGCCGAGGACTTGCTGCGGTCAAGAGATTTTTCGAGGGGGTTTGGGGATATTTAGTGAAAGTTGGTATTACGTTAAAAACAATATTGCGATTAATTAATTAGTTGGAGTGAAGTAATTTGGGATTTGGTTCAAGTTTAATTATGATTGGAAGGTGTATGGTGGTGCCATCTGGTAGAGAAAGGCTGCACTTGATTGATGGAAGCACTAACAAAGACTGAATAGATTTCTGTCTTAGCGCTATCGCAAGAAAAACCCAAAAGGGGGCACAAATGCTAATCGACCTCATTCAACAATGATTGGCCTTTAGAGAACATTTAAAGCACATTTTAAAATTATTGTCAAAAGGAAAGATTGGGTGACAAACTCAGAGAGAAATTTTTGCTTCCCGAGTAGGAAATCCTCGTAATTGAGTCCATCGGGCGACTGGCTACTTTCATGTTTTTTCGAAGTTTCATGACCCCGAAAGTGCGAAAAAATAGCTGTCCCGTTTCCGTCTGATTTTTTTAATTTTTTGATTTTTCAGTTTTATCAATTTTTTTTTCAAATTTTAATTTTCCCATTTCTCGATTTTTCAGTTTTTCAACTTCTCGACTTATCGATTTTTCGATTTCTCGATATCTTGATGCTTCGATTTCTCAATATTTCAGTTTTCCAGTTGCTCGATATTTTGGGTTTTTCGATTTTTCAATTTTTCTATTCTTCAATTTTTAGATTTTTCAATTTTTTAAATTTCTCGATTTCTCTTTTTTTTAATGTTACATTTTTAGATTTTTCGGTACCCTAATTTTTTAATATTTCTGTTTTTCGATTTTTCCGACGTCTCAACTTCTGGGTTTTTCAATGTTTCAAATTTTTCGATTTCTCAATTTCCTCAACTTTTCAACACTTACATTTTTGCTATTTTTCCATTTCTGGGTGTTTCAATTTTTCGACATTTTAATTTTAGATTTTCCAGTTTGTCGATTTCTCCACTTCTCGACTTTTCAATTTCGCGATCTTTTGATGTTTGGATTCTCGATGTTTCAATTTTTCAATATTTCCGTATATTGATTTCTCGATTTTTCGGTTTTTCGACATTTCGGTTTATTGATTTTTCAAATTTTCAATTTTCGAAATTTCTAATTTTCGATATTTCGATATTCGAATTTTCTTAGTATCAATTTTTCGATTTTAGAATTTTCGATTTTTCGAATTTCTTGGATTTAAATGTTTCTAAATATCGATTTTGGAATTTTTGGATTTTCAAATTTTCATTTTCCGATATCTCTGATTTCATAATAATAATAATAATAATAACCATATATTTAACCCAAGAACAAAATACAAAATATCCAAGAAGATTTTCTTTTCTATGCATATTTGATTCATCAAATTTTTATTTTTCAATATTCGAATTTTCAATATATGTATTTTTGTTCGATTTTTCAATTTTTGAAATTTTCGATTTTTCGAATTTTCGATTATTCAGTTTTTGGATTTTTCGATTTCTCAATTTCTCGATTCTTCAATTTTTAAATTTTTCAATTTTTAAATTCTCGATTTCTTCTTTTTTTGATATTTCTCTTTTTATAATGTTACATTTTTAGATTTTTCGGTACTCTAATTTTTTAATATTTCTGTTTTTCGATTTTTCCGATGTCCCAACTTCTGGGTTTTTCAATGTTTAAAATTTTTCGATTTCTCAATTTCCTCAACTTTTCAATACTTACATTTTTGCTATTTTTTCCATTTCTGGATGTTTCAATTTTTCGACATTTTAATTTTAAATTTTCCAGTTTGTCGATTTCTCCACTTCTCGACTTTTCAATTTCGCGATCTTTTGATGTTTCGATTCTCGATGTCTGAATTTTTCAATATTTCCGTATATTGATTTCTCGATTTCTCGGTTTTTCGACTTTTCGGTTTATTGATTTTTCGAATTTTCAGTTTTCGAAATTTCTAATTTTCGATATTTCGATGTTCGAATTTTCTTAGTATCGATTTTTCGATTTTAGAATTTTCGATTTTTCGAATTTCTGGATTTTCAAATTTTCATTTTCCGATATCTCGAATTTTATAATAATAATAATAATAATAATAATCATATATTTAACCCAAGAACAAAATACAAAATGTCCAAGAAGATTTTCTTTTCTTTGCAAATTTGATTCATCAAATTTTTTATTTTTCAATATTCGAATTTTCAATATATGTATTTCGTTCGATTTTTCAATTTGTGAAATTTTCGATTTTTCGAATTTGCGATTATTGAGTTCTTGGATTTTTCGATTTTTCAATTTCTAGATTCTTCAATTTTTAGATTTTTCAATTTTTAAATTTCTCGATTTCTTGTTTTTTGATTTTTCTCTTTTTTTTTAATGTTACATTTTTAGATTTTTCGGTACTCTAATTTTTTAATATTTCTGTTTTTCGATTTTTCCGACGTCTCAACTTCTGGGTTTTTCAATGTTAAAAATTTTTCGATTTCTCAATTTCCTCAACTTTTCAACACTTACATTTTTGCTATTTTTTCCATTTCTGGATGTTTCAATTTTTTTTTATTTTAATTTTAGATTTTCCAGTTTGTCGATTTCTCCACTTCTCGGCTTTTCAATTTCGCGATATTTTGATGTTTCGATTCTCGATCTCTCAATTTTTCAATATTTCAGTATATTGATTTCTCGATTTCTCGGTTTTTCGACTTTTCGGTTTATTGATTTTTCAAATTTTCAGTTTTCGAAATTTCTAATTTTCGATATTTCGATATTCGAATTTTCTTAGTATCAATTTTTCGATTTTAGAATTTTCGATTTTTCGAATTTCTTGGATTTAAATGTTTCTAAATATCGATTTTCGAATTTTTGGTTTTTCGATTTTTGGATTTTCAAATGTTCATTTTCCCATATCTCGGATTTTATAATAATCATAAAAATAATAATATATTTAACCCAAGAACAAAATACAAAATGTCTTTTTGCATATTTGATTCATCAAATTTTTTATTTTTCAATATTCGAATTTTCAATATACGAGGTAAGCGCCAAATATTCTCGGCCTAACAAAGAAAGAGACCTGATGGAAAAAAAATAAATATTTATATTTCAACATAATCTCTGTTAACTTCAATACATTCAAAACTATGTTCAACTAACAGCTCTGTGCGTTTAAAAAAATTATTTGAATCTTTATCACTAAAATGATGTAGTACTGCCGTTTGCACCTCTTTATCCGTCCAAAACGTTTTCCCTGCAAGTCGTTTTTTATCTTAGAGAACAGTTAATAATCGTTCGAAGCTAAGTCAGTACTGTAGGGTGGATGATCAAGTTACTCGAAGTCACAGGCCCCTATAGCAGCTTGAGAAAGACATGCGGTATGAACGAGCGCATTTTCATGAAGCAATCGAACGCCTCTTGTTAATTTTCTCGGCCTTTTTTCCCAAATACGGTCTCCTAATTTATGCAGTAAGTAAGCATAATATGTAGCGTTGACAGTGGTATTTCATCCTTTAAAATTAATCAACAACATGCCTTTACAGTCCCAAAAAATTGTGGCCATGATTTTTTTGGAAGACTGGTTCGTCTTCAAGGGTTTCTTACCCCATGCGAAATAACTGTGATCATTTTTTTTAGTAAAATGTGAAGGACAAGCTTCAGCAAACACAAAAACCATCCTGTCCTTAATACCCTTTAGAGCAATTCCATCTTTTGATAAGAATTTTATTGCCGTTCGATTTTCAATTTTAAACAGGCATGATGAGTCCATAATTTTTCAAATATTACTCCTCAAATGTATCAAAACTAATGGGCAGTGGGGCTTGAAATTTTACACACATACTGCGGGGACCCTCTAGTCTTTTATGAGTTGTACAAATTTCCCGACGAGCAATCGCAAATATATCAGGCCGAGAATATTTGGCGCTTACCTCGTATGTATCTCGTTCGATTTTTCAATTTTTGAATTTTTCGATTTTTCGAATTTTCGATTGAGTTTTTGGATTTTTCGATTTTTCAATTTCTCGATTCTCCAATTTTTAGATTTTTGAATTTTTAAATTTTTCGATTTCTTGTTTTTTTGATTTTTCTCTTTTTTTAAATGTTACATTTTTAGGTTTTTCCATTTCTGGATGTTTCAATTTTTCGATATTTCAATTTTAGATTTTCCACTTTCTCCACTTCTCGACTTTTCGCGATCTTTTGATGTTTCGATTCTCGATGTTTCAATTTTTCAATATTTCCCTATATTGATTTTTCGATTTCTCGGTTTTTCGACATTTCGCTTTATTGATTTTTCAAATTTTCAGTTTTCGAAATTTCTAATTTTCGATATTTCGATATTCGAATTTTCTTAGTATCGATTTTTCGATTTTTCGAATTTCTTGGATTTAAATGTTTCTAAACATCGATTTTCGAATTTTTGGTTTTTCGATTTTTGGATTTTCAAATTTTCATTTTCCGATATCTCGGATTTTATAATAATCATAATAATAATAATATATTTAACCCAAGAACTAAATACAAAATGTCCAAGAAGATTTTCTTTTCTTTGCATATTTGATTCATCAAATTTTTTATTTTTCACTATTCGAATTTTCAATATATGTATTTCGTTCGAGTTTTCAATTTTTGAAATTTTCGATTTTTCGAATTTTCGATTATTGAGTTTTTGAATTTTCGATATTTCAATTTTTTCATTCTTCAATTTTTAGACTTTTCAATGTTTTACTTTTCGATTTTTCGATATTCGAATTTTCAATTTTACTACTTTTTTCTATTCCTCAATTATTTTATTTAATTTTTTCGATTTTTTTATTTATCGGGTTTTCGATACTCTTTCAATTTTCCGATTTTTCAGTTTTTGATTTTTCAAACTTTCAAAATTTTTTACATTCTCCATTTATTTGTAATCTTTTTTACTTTTTGTTTCTTTAAATTTTCAGTTCCATTCTTCACTTTCTCAAATTTTAAATTTTTTTACATTGCAAATTTTCATTGTTATATTTTCAATTTTTCAGTTTTTCTAGATTATTTCGACTTTTCGATTTCTCGATTTTTGCATTTTTCAGTATCTCAGTTTGGGATTTTCCTGCTTTTCGTTTCATCAATTTTTCAATTTTTCGATTTTTCAATTTTTTTTAATTTCAAATTTTCGATACTTTGATATTCGAATTCTTTTAATTTCGATTCTAGAATTTTCGAGTTTCTTGAATTTTACATGGTTTTCAATCTTGATTTTCGAATTT